ACAGCTCCACTAACCTGCCCTGTTATACTCAATATATCACTGGCAGAGCTGGGGAGACAAGAACCAGAAGGCTGCACTCACCCTGAACAGTGCCTGCAGAAAATACATCCCTCCTAAAGTGAAGGAGCTGAAAGTTTTTCCTTGCTCCAGCTTAAGAACTCAAGCCCGGAGCAAGCTTAGTCCTGCTAAAAGCCAAGATACATGCAGAGATCCCACTCTGAGACGTTGATGAAATGCAGCTCAGACATTTTCAGTAACTCCTGGATAGGCCCACAACTAAGAACCAAAACCAGATGGGGAGAGCATTCATAGCAGCCCAGCTGCTCCCACCTCAGCATCAGACCTCAGTAAGGCACTGAGTAACTTTTTGCCTGGAATCTAGCCGGATTTAATCAAGTATAGGCTGCAATCAAGCTGAACAGGTAATTTAACTAACAAAACCTCATTTCTTGTGGATTGTTTTCTTAATAACTTGTGTTCATTCTCTCCTCCAAATCACCTGTGTGAGATTCCTTGCAGGTCAGAAACAGCACACCTGCAAACTCACTTAAAGGGATATATGCGCTGACTAGCAACCACCAAGTGTACCTGCTCTAATAGGGCAATCAGAGCCCTGGCAAGGGCAGAATTTAGTCTCTTGCCAGTAAGCAGCTTCCCCGAAGTTTGTAGAAACTTGATGTTGCTTGTAACTTCATATGTGATTTGTAAATTGCAAAAGGAGACAGACAGCCCTATTTGTTTTGTAAAGTAGTTAGGCATGGAAAAAAGATTTTAATCCAGATTATCGACAGTAACAGCTTCCCACTAATATAATAGTGGCCAACACTCATTTTCTTCCACTCCACTCTTACACATCACACACTGACCTTGCATTCATCAGCTGCTCAATAATATCTGAAGTGCTTTTAGCCTCAGACTTGTCTTCTGTAATCTCCGCAGCAACCTCTGGGAGAAACGTGGGATCTTCATGAATGTCAAGTGAACGCATGAGAGAGAAGTTGTTCAGCCTGAAAGAGACAGAGTCACCGCTAGAGTTTGCAAGCTCTACCATGACTAATTTGTCAGAGTGTTCAGAGGGAACCTTACCCAAGAACATTTTGTTTTAGCAGTCTGCTCTCACAGCAGGGAGTTGCAACAGTTACAAGATAATCTCCCACACCTTTCCTAAAGGCAGCATCAAATCTATTCTGCTTGCTGAACAAAGCCTCCCACCTCTTGACATATGGCCAGCCAACCTCTGTAAACCAAAGCTCAGAAAGAAATGGTGAAAGTTTTCGATTCACTTTAATTAGACATATCACCCACCCACAGACTAATAAAGACAGGAATGGACAGGAAAAGAAAAGGAGAAAGTAGTATAAACCATGTGTTGAAGCACTCATCCTGTTAAAACAGGCACCTCTTCAGCCTTTTCCATGACCTTCTTCAACACGGTTTGTCTGCAACCAAATACTGCAGCACAAGTTCAGGGTTTGGAACACAAAGCAAGGAAATCAAGACCCTATCGTAGATGTCAAGGAATGATCTGCTAAGAGCAGTGACACTTGTCTGGGTTCGATTCACTCAAAAAGCCCATGCCCCAAGTAAAAATTCAAGGGTACCAATTGTGTGTAATCTTGTGTGTAATTGTGTGTAATCAACTGTGTGACATCGCAGAGTCCTGGGATCTGCACAGATGACCCATCAAATGATGGGCAAATTACATGAGCCAAGCATGAGCCTGAAGCTCCTGACACCTCTTACCTGAGTGGCACTTAGTGCAATGTACATTTGAAAGCACAGTTTCTAAACAAAAATGTGAGAGAGCAGAAAAGGATGACCTAAAAAAGTAAGTATCTTTGAAAAGAATCTATTGGAACCCCTGAACTCCATGTCTGGCCTTATTTCTCCACTACTACTATTCTACTTGTGATAAACCCAGGAGATCTGCACATCCACAAGCTCTGAAAGAAAGACTGCTCTTCAGCAAAGAACAGAAAGGCAAAGAGGCAAGGTGGTGAATTCAGCTTTTATGCTCCTGCCTGAGTGGGAAAAAAGGTTAATTTCTTCTGGTAGAGACCCACTCAAACCAGAATAGTTAAAAAAAATCTTGAAAACATCTATGAAATAATCTTGCTCACTCTCCAATCAAGTTATGCAGCTTCCCTCTTAGAAAAGGTCATTTCAGATAACTTGTGATGTGCAATGTAAGCACCTTTAAAGAAAAAAAAAACAAAAACAAAAAACACTTGGAGGGGGAGAAAAATCTCCACTCTTACCTCATTAAGAGTGGCAGTAAGCAGATCTGTCCAAAAGCCTAGAAGAAAGTAAGCAGAAACATTGGTTTGCAGTAACTTTGACCTGAACACCTTCCTCGCTAGACAAGGAATGCTGAATGTGCTCACAATTGCTGCAGGACCCTAGAGAGCATGCAATGTTATGTAGTAAAAAAGTAGCACAAATGCTTGTATTTCAGACCACAAAACTGGTCTGAAATCTTTCCCCCACCCATGCCATATTTATATAATTATAAAGAGCGTATTCTTCTGGCTCTCCTGCCTTTGCCCTTCCCCAACTCGGCTCGGAAAAGCCTGCACCCGCAGGCTGCAACACTGTTAAGAGGCATCTACATCGCTCCCATGCCTTACTTCCTTCATGTTCCATGGATTATGCAAACACTGAATGAAGGAGAAACATTATTATTTTGTTTATCCTGTTAGGATCTTTCCTGTTGCTCAACCAGCTCCTGCAGTAAACCAAGTCAGCTTGGTAAAGCATGAGAAATTTAGAGACTCCATGGTAGCAGCCAGCTGAAAACACTCTCTGAATACCTTGAATTCCCACTGTAGCAATATCAGTGGTCCCACAGAGATCAGCCTTGCTCTGGCCTGTCTTTGTAACTCAACAACGGACTTCAAAAACATGTTAAGGGGTGTACAAATACAGTACAAGTCTGAAGCAAGACTCACACTCCTAGATCCACAAAGTGATATGTTGCCTCACACATTACATAAGAATTACAGACTTTTTGAAAACATGTTGCTCCTAATCTACGCCTCATCTAAACCAGCACAATCCTGTAGGAAACTGAGAATCTCACGTTCCCCTCTCCAAGGGAGATGTCAGGAAGGGAAACAAGTGCATGGCCATGCACCAGAAGTGGCCACAAAGCAAAGGAAAAAAGGTATTCTGGTTGTTATATCCTGTAAGAAAGCCACTTGCGAGGTATTCTCACAAATAAACACAGCGCTTCACTAGCTTTCACTCCAGGCCCAGCCAGACCTCTGTAACAGTTCGCACTGCTGAAATGACTTTCGTGCCTAACCTTGACGCTATCTCAAAAGGAAAGGCCAAGCAGCAGCAGCAGCAAAATCTACCTCCTTTTGGGTGACTGATGCTGCAAGGTGCTCACTGCCGAGGGGATGCAGCACCAGCACCCTGCTCACAGCGGTCACACCTCCTTCACACCAGCTCTGGTGGGCCTGTGGGTTGATTCCTGCTGTGGAGAATCAAGCCACAGGCCTGCCAAAGCCCATGCGAGGAAGAGCTCAGGGAGAACAGCTGCCTTCAGCGCCAAAGCCCACGTGAGGAAGAGCTTGGGGAGGGCAGACGGCTGCCTTCAAGCACCAAAGCGAACACGAGGAAGAGCTCGGGGGGAACAGCTGCGTACAATGCCAAAGCCCACGCGAGGAAGAGCTTGGGGAGAACAGCTGCCTTCAGAACCAAAGCCCACGTGAGGAAGAGCTCCGGGAGGGCTGACAGCTGCCTTCTGTGCCAAAGTCCTCACGAGGAAGAGCTCTGGGAGAACAGCTGCCTTACAATGCCAAAGCCCACACGAGGAAGAGCGTGGGGGGAACAGCTGCCTTCAGCACCAAAGCCCATGTTAAGAAGAGCTTGGGGAGGGCGGATAGCTGCCTTCAGCACCAAAGCCCACGCGAGAAAGAGCTTGGAGGAAGAGCTCGGGGGGAACAGCTGCCTTCAGCATCCTCCTGAACCCCCCCCTCAGAGGGCTGCAGGACCCGGATCCCTTCCCGTCTGAGGAAAGCTGGTGGCGGCTGCATTCCAAGTTTGCTGTCGGCCCGGAGACACTCACGACACCCTCGCCCCGAGGCCAGCTCTCTCCCTCCCCACGGCATCCCACCTGGGGGTCAGGGTGAACCCCGACAGCAGGCAGAGAGCCACAACCCCCCTACGATTCCCCCAGAAAGGCGGGTTTTACCTTCCCTCCCTCGGCTATCCCCGGCAGTCCTGGCCTCGCCCGGTTTTCCCCAGAGCAGCCTCGGGTTCTCCTCCCCCGTTTACCGGCCGCCGCGGCCCCTCGCCCCCACTCACCGTGTTGGCCACATGAACGAAGAGGCGCTTTCAATCCCTCTGCTACTAGGGTTTCAGTTTCCCCAGGGAGGAGACGGCAGCAGTGCCATAGAGTTATTAACAATATACAGCACTTGAGTCCAGGTACAAGGAAAGATCTTGAGATCTCTTACCCAACTAGTTTTGTGTTTGTTTTGACATATTGTGCCCCATAATAAGGGCTGCAGTGGTGGTAGTAGCCACAGTGGCCTACTTAAGTGCAGGAAAACTGGAAAACATCTTGTTGAGAAATTATTATTATACAAGAGTAGATTATTAGAAACATTTCCAGTAGCCTAAAGCATGTCCCTGGGTCTAGTACTTATATATTTTTAAAAGTGTCTGGAGCTGAAAATTAGGCTTTCTTTTAGGCATGCAAAGTAGTAGCTTAATTATCAGATTAGGTTCCTTGTACAGGCCTTTGTAATGACTTGGGGCATTTGTGTATGCACAAGTTCCTGAATATGTTTTAATGGATTTGCTGTAACACCGGTGTCTCTGCTCTCCAGCAAGGGTAAACCAGCTCCTGCTGAAAACTGGTGTGCTTTTCCTGTAAGGCAGATGTTTGAGAAGGCCTGTTCTGGGTCAGGACCCGTTTCTGGTGGCTTCAGGGTGTAG